AGCGCCATCTGAAGCAAAGAGCATACTTCCTGCGGACACTTTTTAGGCTGAGTGGCCCATCTTGTCTTGTACTATCTTTGCCGTAGCGGAAGGCACGAGTATTCTTACCCCGTACAATTTCATCTGTTTCATCAAGGAAACATTGTCCCCGGCAAATCGTTTCCTCAGAATTACGAAGTTCTATCTGCTCAGTACCCAGTTTTGCGAAATTTGAAGTCAGAGATTTTGAATTGCACAGCAAGTCAAGCTTTTTCGAATGCAATTCTTTGAATGTGTCGATACTGACTCCAAATAATCTAACGATTTTGATAGAGCAGGAGAACTTTTGTTTTCCAACCTCATGGTCTTAGTAACTCAAAACGATAAAAAATGTCAGATAGAATTTTGTCATTCTGAGGTTGAGAAATGCATCCGTCCTCACCAGAGATCCGCTACCTCCGCATCACAAAGCTCTGTCTGACATTTTTGGCTGTTTTAAATTACTAAGACCATGAGATTTTTAAAAAAGTTCTATTTGATCTATCAAAATGGCAAAATTATTCGGGGTCGTTTAATTTATATTAAAAGAATTGCATTCGAAAAAGCTTGGCATTATGTGAAACTCGAAATCTTTTACGTGAAATTTCTCAAAAGTAGGTACTGAGCTGATAGAACTTTAAACTTTATAATTCTGAGGTAGCGAACTGACGAACTGAATACCGTCAAACTTGCTCTAACGGCCACGTGTCAGAGACAATCACCTGCACAAACGACCACCTACCACTGCTAACTTCTCGCCCCCGCCCCCCCTTTTCAGCACTGTTTCTATAATCTCTATATATTGTATTTGAGAAAGTTCGTCACTTTGGCCGCCTAAAACTCTGGACCTAATTAACTTTAAAATTTGACAAAATTAATGGTGGTGCATAATCATTTCAAGGGTGCACAGTTTTATTGAGGAGCCTAAAGTCACTGTATTTTAATTTTCTGTTTTTCATTAGTTTCGTTTAGATCTAATCTTGGGAAAGTCCGTCTTCTAATACACCATTGTAAACAAGTAAGGTTTCCGTTCACAAGCCCTGTGCACTGTTTTCACATCTCTGAATTTCTGGAGTGTACAACCACGAAAGCGGAGTAGAGATTCAATCTATACATCTATTATATATTTGGTAACTTGGAAACATATGTGTCACTTTTCCCATAAGACTACGACAGCCACAGGGTTGAAAGTTGGTAAGCACCAAGCACCTGCAAAAAGATAGATAAGTCCATCATGATGGAGCCAGATTTTTTATGCATTCTTTTCCTGAACTTTGAAAAATATTGACAAAAAGTTCCCGTCCATCTTTGGCCTTTATGATTATTCCACTGAGAAACGAAACAAAGCTGCGTAGCTGTCCTTCACAGCGGAAGTGCCGGAAGTGATATTTCTCGAGGCGCATTTTGTTTTGAGAGTATCAGATCTAGATCTTCTAATTTTTTGCATCTCTCAAGATTTATTGCTCCATTCCAGTAGAGTGTAGATATAGTAGCCCAATGACTTTCAGTTGATGTTAATACACCGATCATTCCTTTCATCGAAAGGAGTCCAGCTAGTATTATAATAACATTG